GCAACACTTATCCCCCCCCCCCCCAGCGAGCTGGGTACTCATTTTACTGACTTCGGAAGGATAGAAGGCTGAGTCAACCTTGAGCCGGCTACCTGGGACTGAACCCGAGGTTGTGAGCACAGTTTTGGCTGCAGTACAGCAGTTTAACCACTGCGCCACAAGGGTCTTCAGTTGGGGGACATCAACAGCATAGCCAAGATGAACTCCATCAGCCCTGGCAGAGCTAATGCTGAGTCTTAGGGAAACCAGTACATCAGCCCCAACCCAAACCTATCTTTATGTCCCACTATCAGATAAATGCACTCTAGGCCTGGATTCAACAGTAAGGACATCCTGCTAATATTGATGGAATTCCTGGATACCATGGCAACTCCTCCACTCCATCCATCCAGTCTGCCATAGTGTTGGATGGCATACCCAAGTGGACACATCTGGGAGACAGCATCCTCTCCTTCTGCACCCACCTATATATAGATAGAAACACCCCCATCATAGGACTCCAACTGTTCTCATAGGCAAGTTGAGAGTTCATACAATGGTATAGTTAACCCAGAGTTCACAGGAACATCATCTGCTGTATGCCTTCAGGCTTCCCTGCTGCTTCTAAATTTAGATGCAGTCTCCACTGTAGCTGGGAAAGAAATGGATTCTCCCAGGAACAGTATGTTGTTAAAAGCTATGGTTGTTGTAATGCAAAATATTTGATGGTTATTGAACGGTCAATTAAGAACCATTAACTTTATAAAAGACTTCCTCTTCATTTGGTAACATGTACCAATCCAGCTGCCTGCATTTTTTGGATTGTATTGGAAAAGGTCCCTATCAACAATTTTAAAATGAGCATCTGCACTTCTAAATTTACCACTACTCCACTGGTGCCATGTAGAAGAATAATAAGGGTCAGGGGTAAGTTCTATACACTTTGACTGGCAGCTTTGCTGAGTACAGTATTTTATATAGAGGATGTGAGTAGACGGTTCAGTAATATAACAATGGCCTTACATTGTACTGCATCTTGATTGCAGCCTTCTCTGCTTGGCTAACGTGGGAACGTTACTGGCAATGAGCAACATGAGTAGTGCTGGCAGCACAGGTTTGAAGGATGCTGCTGGTATTGTTGTATTAGCATTTTATCCCTTCCATGATGCACTCTGTAGACTTTGCTAGACAATTATAAGATTAGGACTACTATATGCAGGTGTTAATGCTGACATAATGGTCATGTCATTCTTGGGCCACTGGACTTGCCTATCCTTACCACTAGATGCTCTCCCTAAAGTTGAATTTAACTGTTTGAAATGCATGAGTTATTATCACTCGGCTGTGACATCCACTAGCTTGTAAAACCATAGCCACTAACTCCTGTGAAAATGTGTGTCTCTAGAATTTTTGGGGGAAAACTATCCCCAAGCATATGCTGAAAGCAAAGTAATGCAAATTATTGAGATAAAAGAGACACAAACAGGGGGAAAAACATATGGCATGACCTCCTGCAAAGTAATTCCACTACCTGGTTGCTTCTATTGGTGATAATTCCTCCTCTTCTGGAGACTGCCTTGTCTTGTGCATAACCTTTCTAACATCAGCATAGAATAATCTCCTCTCATTATGGTTCTATAGCACTCGATACCTAAAATAAGAACCACTTCCTTGAGGTTCTCAGCTATAGATATGAGGATAAAGTTGCTTTTTTTGACTACAACTCTCAGAATACCCCAAATAGCATGGGTGACTGAACATGCTGGCTAAGTTAGGTTCCTGGACAGCCCACTGAGCATCCGTCTGCCAAGTCAGGGATTAGGAGTCCAATTCCCCACTGTGGCTCCCAGGAGAAGAGCCAGCCTATGTAGCCTTGGTCAAGCTATACGGTTCCAGAGCATCCCCACAAGAAGAGAATGCTAAATTACTTCTGAGTAATTTATACTTAGAAAACCCTGAGAGTTGTAAGTTGGAATCAACTAGATAGTACATGGTTGTTGTTGCTAATTATTGCTTGTGGAGACTTCCAAAAAAGCTACCTCTTTGGATTTTTCTGAGAGAGATGATCAATCGTATTCTTTTCTAGAAACCCTCTGCAGAGTAGAAAGGCACAAACCCATAGCTATTTAAAAAATTCACTCTCCTTGGTGCTCAATTACTAAGTGAAGTTTCAGCAGTAGTTTACTACTGCTGTTTTTCCAGGCTACTTAGAAGTGATAATGAAGATTACAATGCAACCAAGTCTGTCATGTTTGGCAAAAAAATAGTTGTGGACAGAGAACTTATAAAAGGTAACATCACTCTGTTCATCCTCTGATTCAACAGAACATGAGATCATTGTTACTTTTGCCTTGACTGCCAGTGAAAGGGAAGCAGGGTGTTTATTTTCCTCTAAAATGCCAATGTAATAAAAGGAGATAAAGATATTTTCCTACTACAGTTAGCATAGAATTGAAGTGCTGTCTGAAAAGACGCATGCTTGTGTTAAAGATCACAAAAGGATATTGTCAGGGGCATAAGTAATACATTTCACTGACAAATTTTTTAAAAAGCTGGGGGCAGTTGAAAAGGGTTTCAGTCATCAAGTGGTCCCCGCTCAAGAGGCAAATAAATGTTGGTATGAAAGACTAAAGTTATGGTCCAAAAGGACTGTTATCAAGTAGACAGGAGCACAGAAAACAAGAGCTGAATTCTTAGCAATGCACCAGTTAACATTTTTCACAAAGTCCTTCTATCTTCAGTTACATTGCTAACATCTTCTTTTAACCACATAGCTTATATTCCTTTTCACTGCCTGCCCCCGACACACCAATCCAGTGCAATTTCTGTTTTTGACCTTGAAGAGAGGATCTGATACCTACAGACACCGGATGCTTGAAATCCCCACTGAGAGGACTGGAAACATTAAAGCCTTCTTGTCTCAAAGTGTAGCACAGCACATGTTTGCAGAAAGTGCAAACACCATTAAAGAAGCAGCACTGAACCTTCAAACTTTATATGATGCCTAATCCAGAGGCCACATAATTTAAATGGTCAAAATTAATGTATACAAATGAGAGAAACTCAGTGTCTTTCACTGTGCCTGTCACTTTTGCATTAATAACTGTTTTGGCTTCCTCCATACAGGATGACCCTCAACTGCTGAAGCTGGAATTGAAAAATAGCTGCACTGCACTGCAGGCTGAAAGCTTCACACAGCTTTCAGATTCAAATGGATACACAGTATGATTATGCAGAGGAGCAACACAACATTTCGTACAAATCAAAGTGATATGGAAAGGCATCTCTTTAGTGAGGTAAGTTACTTTTCACATTGTCCACTAAGACGTCTTTTTTAATACTGTGTTTTAATGACTGTGTATCTATCACATAAAGGTCTTTGTTTTCTGATGTATTGTAGATCATATTTATTCCACAGTAAGACAACTGTATTTCAGTCTAAGACAGCTACTCAATTACAGATTTCAACGTGCATGCACTTTGATTTTGAACAAGTACTATTTCTGCTTCAAATTGTTGTAGGACTGCATACTGAATGACTGCAGTTCCAATTTAGAAACAGCGCAAGTTTCAGTGTTCACAGTATACTAATGGAATGCAATAGCAAAGCTATTGTAGCAAATTGGTAGTATTACACATGCTGTTTAATTTCTTTTACTTACCATGGAGGTGAATAATTCTGTCATGCTCAAGTGTGAAGTTGGCAGCGTGATGGTCAGCCCGGCAGAAAGAAATCAGCACCAGAAAAAGTAAACTCTTCATCTTTTGTCGTCCAAGAATCTTCTTCACTGTGAGAGGGGCACAAAGAAGTTGGTGAAATGTAGATATCTTAGCAGTGATGCACTGCACAACTTGTTACAGCCCCATCATTCTCTCATTGCTCTAGGAAGATTTAACCCACTCTGCCTGAAAAGTTACAGCAGTGAGCGACATTCAAGGAAAAAAAATCCCTGCAAAGATTACCTTCTTTAACAGGGAGTTGACTGCAGAGATTGCTAACTGACACTTAACAAGTTGAGATGCGCATTTTGAATAACTTTGTCCACTAAAAGCCTAAACAGGAAACATGCAATTATCCTTTGCAAATTCTAAAACAAAAATAGGTAGTGACTGTGACTCTTAAGTATTCAGTAGACTTTGATTGGTTGATTTGTTAAGTACTGTCTTTATTCTGCTTAAGCCCAATAGAAAAGCATGTATGTATATATGTCAGATACAGTATGTATTATAATAACATGGAGATTTTTTACATGCTAATTTATATAGCATAGAGCAGAAGTGTGATGTCTTCCTTTAATCTAGGAAGTATACAGACTGAACAGCAAAGGCATACTTTATTTCAGGCACACTTACCATTTTAGAGTCTAGTCTACAGTGAAATGTTGAAAACCATGCACACAGTAGGTTAGAATTGCATGTGTTGCCACTGCAGTTGCCCTGATTGATTTTTCATTCATTTCTATCTGGAATGCTGACGCATTAAATTGTGTGCCAGGTAGGGTCTCTGCAGTCAGCAGCGCTGCTGAGAGCTGCAGGGGAAATCTCCGCCAGGCTCGGAGTTGTAATTAAGGAAATGAAGATCCAAAATAGATGAGGCACAAAATGCAAGTGTTCTTACGCAGAAGGTTTGGCTCCTCGTGTCCTTTAAAAGCATCAGTATCACAGCTTGGCATTTTCTGCTTCCCTTCCTTCCTTCCCTCCCTCTTCCCTCCCTCCTTTCCTTTCTTGCTCCTTTCAAAATGCATTTGGAAATAATAATTTTGTTACCAGAAGGCAAGGAACCATGGGTTTGGAAATAATAATTTTGTTACCAGAAGAGATTTTGTTACCAGAAGGCAAGGAACCATGGGTCTAACATAGAAAAAGCACCGTAACTTCTCTTTTTCTATATCCATAGAAATTTAGTGGATTTAAAACATAGGGGAAGATTAAGCCCCCTCAAAATATGGAAGGCACTCTGTCAGAGTTTGGACCCAGCTTGGATTTTACAGGCAGTTTTCTTTAAACCTCAGCAGTTTTGCTGTTTAATCCATGAGCTGCTTCTCTTACAAACACACTAGTGGGCACAATAAGCTCGGTGGCACTGCAATGGTATCCTGAGCCAATCTGTGATGTTATTTTCTGCAGCAGGAGAATCTCAGCAGCATTCCTCCATGGGCATTAATCACTATATTTAAGGGCAGGAGGAACTACAATTACTGTATGGAGTTAGGACCTAAGACAGTTCAATTTGCATTTCAATCCATATGGCTTCATCAGCATGTTGATCTAACTTATGGCTGAATTTCTGTTCACACAACTTGTGCAATGTAACCCGGATGTAAAATACAGTAATTAAAGCTTCCTGTCCCATTATAATTTCCAAGGCATTCCAGCAGTGATTTTTTTACAGTACTTTTAAGTCTCCCCCCCACCACACCATTCCAAGGTTCTCAAGGGCTTCCCAAGGGCAAAAGGGAGAACAATGAACAGGAGTCCCCCAGCACCACCTTCTGAGTTTGGCCTCCTGGAAGAAGAGAAACCAATGTGAAGCAGTGCCTCCAAGTCTCATTCCAGTGAGGTAACCCAGAAGAATGCTAAGATTTTTGGTACTGAAAGCTGCTAAGAGGTCCAGCAGATCCAACAGGGTCACAGTCCCTCCTCCCAACCTGTTCCTTGTATAGGTTTTCCACCAAAGCAACCAAAACAGTCCCGGTCACATAATCAGACCTGAAATCAGATCTGACCTGGATTTAAATACAGTACATGTAACCTGTTTGATCCAGCAGCCCTGGAACTAAGAGCCCACTATGCAGTCCAGCACCTTGCCCAAACAAACAAATAAACAAACAAAAAACACAGAAATATAGATAAGTTATTGCACTGGTTGCCAATGCTCGCATTGTTGCTGCCGCCTGGTTAATGGTAGGAAGAGACCAGAGAGAGAAAAAATGCAAGCCCTTTTCCTTGTCCTCTTTCCCCAGCTTTAGTTTTGCTGCGCAGGATTTACAACAATCTTTGTAGCAAGTTTGGGGGGGAAAGAAAAAAGAAAGGGAAGGGGAATATTTACTTTGTCCATACTGACAAGTGGTGAGGCAGATGTAAATGAGTGACCAGGGATTTTGATTTTGTTCAAGAGTGCAAAACAGGCCATATGAAATAAGTATCCAAGCTTGTTTTACCACAATGTACATCCTTCCTCTGCCAACATGTCAAAAGAAGAGGCAGGCCTCTCTAAAGATTATATCACAAAATCTAGTTTGCTGAAGGTCATATTTATATTTGTTTGTTTGTTGTTCTCAACTGGCTACTAGCCTAAGGAACTGAAAGAGAATTAAGAACATGTGTGATGGTACATCAGATTTTTAATAGCTATATTTCACCGCTCTACTATTATGATCCTCTCCACATTGAGAATAGCTGTACTCATTGAACTTGGCCAGTGAAAGTAGCTGAGAATTTTGGTTGTTTCACTACCGGTGAGAACATTTCTAAACCTGAACATTTCTTAATAGATAGGAAGAAGATTTGAGACCTGAATATTCCATAGGACCCTTGGAATTTGACTTCTGCTGGAGCACAGCATTGGTCTATATAGCTCTGCAATGATGTTAAGAGTGACTGGTGATGGTTCTCTTGGGTTTTAGGAAGGTATCTTTCCCATCCCTATCTGGAGGCAACGGGGACTGAACCTGGTATCCTCTGTGTTTAAAGCAGGTATCTGGTTCCTAAACGATGACCCTTACATCTAAAACTGGCATAGATGGAACACGTGTTGTCCCATCAGTTTTCCCACTGTCCCCTACAGATGTGAGACTTTAATGCAAATGGAATAAAATAGTACATTGCCTCTATATTTAACTGTTGTATTCCTTCTAGAGAGAATGGAGTGAGCAGAGTTTAAGAAAAAAACACCCCATCTTGTATAATCCCATCTGCAGGGTTCCCTTTTGTCTTAGGAAAGCCTTTGGAGACCTCAGGACTAGTTGTGGGGATCCATCCATCCATCCATCCATCCATCCATCCATCCATCCATCCATCCATCCATCCATCCATCCATCCATCCATCCATCCATCCATCCATCCATCCATCCATCCATCCATCCATCCATCCACTGTGAGAAATGGGAACTCCCTCCTTCCTTCCTTCCCTCCCTCCCTCTCCCTCTCCCTCCCTCTCTCTCTCTCTCTCACACACACACACACACACTATCCTGAGTCTCTCAAAGGTTTTCCCAGGGCAAAATGAGTCTTGGGAGGGGGTGTCTCAGAATCTGAAACAGGGGAATAGGAATTTTACATTTTATTTTACTCATGCCAGTGGATGACATACTGTATTTAGCTTCCACCAGCGTAGATTTGCACCAACACTCTCTGTTTTCTGAAGGATTGGTGATCTTTTGCTTTACACCAAATTTCCATTCCCTGGAATTACTTGGATGTACACCTTAATGTAATGATGTGGTTTGAGGGTGTCAGAGAAGATCAGAGTAATGCCATCAGGAGGCTATACTCTGTTATGAGTCTGAACTACTAGCAGAGTCACCCAATGCATAATGGTCACAGACTGGACACCAGAATAAGATACATCCATTCTTGTCAGGATCAACAGTCACATCTGCAGGAGAGAATTGATAGGTTCAATGCTGAAAAGGTAGAGAAACTCCCTGAAAGGTAGCTGCAGGGTAGTAATGGTAGTGGAAGGTGATACCCTGGTGGAGGGCCTTTGACAGACAACAGAAGTGACATTCAAACTGACTTCCATAGAACTATGCAGAAGGCAGCAATGGTAAACTACTTTCATATTTTATATTTTGAAACCCCTGTGAGCAGGTGGGAAATCTTAATTCTTCAAAATTGAGATCACTTTCAGAACCTGATATTGGAATTGTAATGAGCTGCCATAAGGAATACATTCCTGGAAGTGGCTGTCAGTTAAAGTACAGTAATAAGCAGCTTTCTTGCTATTGTCCAGGAAAATTTACAGGTAGCATTCAGAGAGTTTGTCTGACAATTGAGAATAGCACAAGAATGACAGAAATGAAACCAATACTTTGTTCTTTTTATGACACTTGATAAGAAACAATTTATGATATGCACCATGAATGGTTCAGTGGTTTAGGTATCTGGCTATGGAGCCAGAGGCTTGGATTCCAGTTTCCTATTGAGCCTCCTTGACGGGCTGGACTTGATGATGCTTAGGTTCCCTTCCAGCTCTGCAGTTCTAAGATTATCCACTAGTTTATAAAAGAGTCTCTTTCATGGTGGCCCATGAAAACCGAAAACTTATTTTTTTCATTTGCTTGTATTTCGGAATAGGGGATTCACTAGTTTATAAAAGAGACAAGAGTATTTATACTTATGTCTTACCTTGGTGGCCCATGAAAACAGAAAATTTATTTTTTCATTTGCTTGTATTTCGGAATAGGCAACTTAGCTAATTAAAGCTAAATTTATCAGTTTATTTTTATTGCTATCTTGCAATATATATTTTTTAAATTGTGAACATATTCATAAACTCACCATACTATCTATTATCCTTATATTTAGGTGCAGAGGTTGTAAAAGTTACCATTTTGGATCATAAATACCTGAATCTGTCAGGCTATCTGGGGGATTCTGGGAGTTGTACTTAAAATATATATATATTTTCAATTCTGCATTGTTGCTGTTTTGGGGTGTTGTGTTTTTTTTGGAACTCTGGTACTAAACAATCACTTGAATGTTCTGCTCAGTACTGTGAAAGACAAGCAGCTATTTTAAGAAAAGCTGAATTGCCATTTTCTTTCACTTAAAATTATTCTCTCAA